GGGAGTGCCATCAGGGAGGGCTCCATGGAGGAGGAAGGTGAGGAAGGCAAAGAGACACACTCAGGCAGGCGAAGCCCAAGCACTGCTCCCAGTTTGTGCCTAGACTTGGAGAGTCTGGGAAACCAGGCAACTGGGAGAGCTGGGTGGGTGGGCCAAGCTCAAATGCTGACGGGGCCTTGGCAGTCCAGTTCAGAGGCCACCACTCCATCCTGAGCACATCACGGTCTCTCACTTGCCTTGAGAGGGTGGCAGGACCACGTCCACCCCTCAGATGAGAACACGAAGACTCAGTGCAAGGGTGCCCACCCCTGCCCCAGGGATCAGGGAAGCCTCTCAGAGACCCATGGTTCCCACCATGGAAGGGGGCACCCCAGGCGGTTGTCCTTGGTGGGCCCATGCCGTTCCTTCCACGTGCCTCAGTTTCGCCCATGTGTGTGGCTGGAATTGCTGGGCTTTGTAGGAGCAAACCATTCCAAGGGCCTGGGAAAAGGTGGACAAGATGGCCCTGATCAGGGTTCAAATAGGTGACAGGCCCACCTCCAGAACCAGGCTCAGATCCCTCCCACAGCTCCTGAAGATGGCCTTTTGGCAGCAAATGGGTGTTCTGAGCCACAGCAAGGCATACTGTTTCCCGTGGAAAGGACATGACAGAGGTCCTTAGGCCACCTCCAGGTCCCCTAACAGTACAAATGGAGGCCCAGCGCCACAAGCGTAAACGTCCACAACCCAACCAAGCGACAGACTGCTCAGAAAAACATGCTCTGTCCTCCTTGATCCCACCTGTCAGGGGCTGAACTGTGTCCCCCAAAATCTATGTTTAAGTCCGAATCCTCAGTACCTCCAAATATGACCTTATTTGGAGACAAGGTCTTTACAGAGTCTTTTTTAAAGTAGCTGGGACTACAGGCACGCGCCACCACGCCCAGCTAATTTTTGTATTTTTAGTAGGGACAGGGTTTCACTATGTTGACCAGGCTGGTCACGAACTCCTGACCTTACGATCCACCTGCCTCCGCCTCCCAGTGTGCCGGGATTGCAGGTGTGAGCCACTGTGCCCGGTCAGTCTTTACAGACTCTTTATAGGGTCTTAAGTTAAGATGAGGACATTACGATGGGCCCTAATCTAATATGACTGGTGTCCTTAGAAGAGAGATGTGAACACAGAGAGACACAGGGAAAGCACCGTGTGTAGACAGGAGTTAAGTTTCCACCAGCCAAGGAACTGCCAGAAGCTGGAAGATGCAAGGAAGGCTGTTCTCCTGGAGTTTCTGGAGGGATTGTAGGCCTGCCGACACCCTGATCTCAGACTTCCGGCCTCCTGAACCATAAGACAATAAATTCCTGTTGTTCTCAGGCACCCAGTCTGTGGCACTATGTTACTCAGCTCTAGGAAACACACTTCCTAAATGGCCAGGTGTTTAGCATTTGAGGAGTCCTGAAGGCCTGGGCCACAGCGTGGTGGCTTAAGGAGCTGCAGGCAGCCTAGTGTTTTCCATCCTCACCTAGCTCCACCCAGCAATTGCAGGGCTGCCCCAGACCTCCCTCCCAGCCCTGTCCATGTACCTACAGGCAGTGGCCCTCCGCCCAGTGGTGCATGGTGGGCAAAACCAGAGAAAGGACCACACAGGCCTGAGAGGTGGGTTAGGGGCCACTTGGCAAGACATTCTGGGGTCCCAGAGCGTGGTCTGCAGTGGGCACCGCTGATGGTCCTGGCGCTTCCCGACACGGCGGAAGAACACACATGCTGGGTTTTGAATAAAGGAGCTTGAAGTAAGCCATCGTGTGTGACCCACAAGGGCAAGGAGGAAGAAGATATCAGGGGTGACGCCAACCCTGATGGCGAAAGGGGGAGGGCCCCTCACGTTTCACACTGAACCTCAGCTTTGGAGGGCTTGGAAAGCAGAGGCGGGGAGGGGCTGCCCTGCTGGAACCCCGCTTCATGGTCCACCTGAACATCCACACTCTTCACGGTCACCTGCCAGGCACTCTGGAGACAGCCTGGCCCACCTGGGCCACCTTCTGCGCTCCTGCAGGCATGCCTCAGCCAGCTGCTCTGGGCTTCTGCTGCCACACATTGCCAAACCAGGGCCTTTGCTCCTGCTGTTCCCTCTGCCAGGATTACCTTTGCCAGCTCCACAGGGATAGGCACGGCTCAGGTGGCTTCCCATAAGCAGCCCAAGATCCAGGATGTCTGAGGCCTGACACCACACCCCACCCTTTGGTAGCTGTTTGGGAAGGGGGCTAAGCCTGGGTTGGGTGGGGTCAGGGAGAAAGAGCCCGGATCACAGCTCTGGGCCTGCTGCAGGTGGAGCTGAGTGGGAAGGGGAAGCCAGAAGGGAGGCCTCCAGGTGCGTGTGGGCCCTGCAGCCAGACCCCAGGGCTTTCAATCCTGTTTCTCCCAGCTGGGGGCCCTCAGTGAGAACCGAAGACAACAAGGGCACCCAGACCTCAGGGTGCCTCAGCAGGCCTGGCTCAGTGAGAGACAGGGAAAGAAGGCTGGGTCCACACAGATCTCTTGGGAGTGGGGTGTGCGAGGGGCCGGCCGGGAAGGGGTTTTGCTCTTTGCCCTTTGGTACCGACCGAATCCGGCACCCTGAGAAGGCAAAATCCTGCTCAAAAAATAAAAACATAGAAGCGCATGGAAAAACCACACTAGGAATGGAGGTGAGAACAGGGCGGGATGGGGGAAGGGTGTTAGGCAGAGGTAGCCGTGCGTGCAACGCCCCGGAGGAGCAACACTTTCCGCTCGGCCAGCTGGCTTGGCCCGCTGGGTATTCGGGCTCCCCAGGGGACCCCGCCCCCCGCCCCCGCCCGGATCTCGGTCCCAGCCCAAATGTGGGCGTGGTCTGTAAGTTGCATGGCATCGCCCCTGGGCGGGCGCGGGAGGCGGGGCTTGTTGCGTCCCGCCCCTCACCCAGGTCCAGGTCCCGCCCCCACAAGCTCGGCTCACTGCCCTGGCAGACCCCGCCAAGCGCCTCGGAGCGCGCAGGATGCGCGGGGCGGCCGCCACCCTCCGTGGCAAGGCGAGGCCCCGGGGGCGGGCCGGGGTCACCACGCCTGCCCCAGGGAACCGCACAGGTGAGGGCTGAGGCCGAGTGGCCGCGTGCGGGGCTCTGCGCCCATTTCACAGACGGGAAAGCCGAGGGGAGGGGGTCGCGGGGCCGCACAGCCGTGGGTGGGGGCCACAGCCGCGATCTGCCCCTAGTATGAACCTCCTCGACCCTCCGCCAGCCCAACAGGCGCCCTAGCGGAGCCGAAGCCTGGCAGCGAGCAGCAGCCCGCGCGCCCCTTCCCGAGTCGCCGCCGCGCCTTGGTCCCGGGCGCCTGCGGACACCGCGGCCGGCCAAGCCTCTCCACGCCGCAGGCGCCGGACCCCTCCGCGCCCCTCCGGGGGAAGTGGAAACCGGCCTCACCTGGCGGGCGGGCGGCGCGGAGGCGGGAGCGGGGAGCCCTTTCTGCCCCTGAGGGAGGTTGCATCTTCACGATTCCTTGGTGACCACCGCAGCTCCACTTTACAGATGGAGAAACTGAGCCTGCGAGAGGGGAGTGGCTGTCCGAGGTCATCCTATGGCCAGGCTTGGGATCGCCTCGGCTGTCTCCGAGGCTCAGAGGCCTCCGGAAGGAAGAGAGGCTGCTTTTTATTTTACTTTTAAGTGTTTGAATTCAAGAATGTGCTTAAAGAGCTTTCTGCTCCCGTGCCCAAGTCTCCGGGGTTCGATTGCTGGCCTTGCTCCTTGAATGATTCTAAAGTCTAACCCTTGTAGAAGTGGAAGCAAACCGGAACTCGGGGTCTCAGATACCCCAAAAACTTTTTTCCGTGGCCACTACCCACGAGCGTTAGGCCTGAGGGTCCTGGCTGTCTCAGGCGTTGCGGGGCTAACGCTCTGCGCAGGAGGAAGCTGAAGCCCGGACTGGGGTGGGCTGGACCAGGTCACGCTGTCAGCCTGCAGCGTCAGGGAACTGGCAGGAAGGTGGCAGGAGGCTGGCTTCCTCTCACAGATGGGGAAACTGCGGCTCAGGGAGCTAATTCACCGAGCAGAGCTCCTCAACTCCGCAACGTGGGCGCTGACACTTGTTCCTGGCGCTGGTGGACTTGGTTTGTTTAGTTTGACTCTCTGGCAGCCTAATGTCCAGAGTCCCTCATTTGGTGTTGGGGTGATGAGCACTTTTGCTCCTGTGGTTGAGCAAGGCCTGCCCAGGGCCTGGTGCTGCCTGAGGAGCCCCTTCTACTGGCACAACAGCCTGGAGGAGTGGGTGCCAATGCCCTTTGGATAGCCTTGACTTGCCCAAGGTCAGCCCAAGGCCAGGGAGTATCTGGAGGCTCTGGCATATTTGCATACAAAAGGTTGTTTGCCTTGGAATTTGTGCTGGGAATGGAGCTTAGTCTGGCACCCTGTACTCTTGTTCATCCTCCCTGGCCCTGGCTCTGCCTCTGACCACCATGACCACTTCCCAGGCACTGGCCCACTTGTTGGAGTTTTGGGTTAGAACCCCCCTGTGACCTGGGGTGAGTCGCTGCACCTCTGTGCCTCAGTTTCCCCATGTTCCCCAGTTTCCCCACTGTATACCTGCCCCCAAGCTTGTGGACAGGCCCAGTGGAGCCCCGGGAGGACACTTGTTCTGGTGCAGGGATGATGCCATCATCTGGACTCCATCACTCTCCTGCCATGAGATCTCAGTTTCTTGATCTGTGAAATGTGCTGTGAAGTGAGAGGCTAGGGGGTTGGGAGTCTTTGGAGAGGATTTGACACTAAAACACCACTGGCCAGGAGTGGTGGCTCATGCCTCTAATCCCACACTTTGGGAGGCTGAGGCGGGCGGATTGCTTGAGTCCAGGATCTCGAAACCAACCTGGGTAACATAGCAAGACCTCATTCTACAAAAAATGCAAAAAAAAATGAGCCGAGCATGGTGGCATGTGCCAGTAGTCCCAGTTATTCTGGAGGCTGAAAGGTGGAAGGATTGCTTTAGCCCAGAGTTCGAGGCTACAGTGAGCTGTGATCACCTCACTGCACTCCACCCTGGGCCACCAGAGTGAGATTCTGTCTCAAAACAAAACAAAAACCAAAAACACAGCATGGGCGTGTGTGTTTTTCCCACCATCTTTAAAATGGGACCATTACCACCAGCTTTCCTAGAGTAGATATGAAGAGCACAGTAGTGCAGACACACTTGTCTTCCTGGGAGGCAGGAAGTGGTCTTCCCTCATCTCCCATGAGCGCCCTGGGAGAAGGGCAGCGTGCGGGGGAGACTAGCTCAGAGTAGGAGTTTATCATGTTTGTTGTGTGACTGGCCCCTGGCCCTGCTCCCAGGTCAGCCCCAGCACTCCCTGATCTGGGAGATTGTCCAGGAAAGCAGGGTTCCAGTGGCTGTAGGTAACCCCCCTGGCATCCCTGGAAGGGCCTTGGAGGAAGGGCCTGGGGGGGCGGGTAGCAGGAGGTGTGCTCTGCCGGTGCCTTCTTGGCTTCACCCCTGAACTCCTGCCCCAGAACTGAACTGTGTCCATTTTACAGAGGAGAAATTGAGACCCTGTGAATGCCTGTGTAAGTCAAAGCAAGGCGGACACGCCCCGTGATGCCTGTTTATGGCCTCCTGCCACCCATCGGCATTGACAGAGCAGCTGGTAGAAGACATAGGTTCCAGGGCCCTCGGTTTTCCACCAGGGATGTGGGAGTACACGTTCCTCATTTGGAATTAGCCCCCCTGTGTTCTGGAGGATTGTGAGCTTTCCACGTCCTAAGGCCACCCTGCTGCTCAGCCTGGAGATGGAAGGCTACAGTGGCTCTGAAGCCTGTGCCCACCCTCCATGTGGAGATGGGCTCAAAGAGGGCAGTTGACTTACCTGAAGACACACAACCAGGGCTGTGGGCCACCCACATGTAGTGTTGGGGCCAGGCCCTGTCCCCACTGCCAGGGTCTTGGGGGTCCTGTTCTCAAAGCACCTCTGTGTGCACAAGTCACCCCCTTTAAACTCTGAGAAATTCCTCTGAAGGTTCCTGTTTCACATTTGGGGGAACTGAGACCCAGATTGAGGTCACACAGGGACTCACTGGCAGGTGGGGATCGAGTCTAGGTGAGACTGGGTCCACAGCCTACCTCTATCACTCGGGTGCCCTCTCTCCCACAGCCTCAGCCAGCATAAAAGGGAACATAGTCACTTGGTCGCATAGCAGGCGAGGTCAGGGTATAGGGGCTGTGTGGCGAATCCCAGGAGGGAGGATGGAAGGGCTGACCTGGGGTCCAAGGTTCTAGATAGAAGATTAACAAGTACGGATTGTTCTCAGACGCCTGACTGGCCTCATGGGCTGGGAGGATGAGGACCCACCCGGTCAGGCCTGCCTGTCTCTGTACATAAGGCCAGAGAGGGAGGAAGCACAGCTGCAGTAGGTGGCCGGGCAGAGGCGCAGGTGCGGCATGTGGGCTGAGGGCCGCTCAGGCATCCCACAGGTGTGCCCCTGAGGTACCCATTGGCCCTCTCCACCTGCCCCTGAGCCGTGGGAGGGCCAGGCAGGGCCTCATGTGTTTGATTTTGTACCTTGTTTGCATCAAATCGGGTTTCTGTTGTTTTTCCCTCTCCTTTAAGATTTACATGCAAAGGGATCTAAAGGGTGCCAGGTAAGAAATGCCCCAGCGCTGGGCCAGCAGATCAAGGGCAGCCACAACCAAGGGCTGGGGAACAGCAGGCAGGTAGGGTGGGGCTGGAGGCCAGGACAGATCCAGGGAGGCAAGGCCTCTGTCTCCAGCTTTAGGGAAGAGACATCCTCAAAGACAGCTGGGGTGTGGGGTCCCCTGCAGGGATCAGGCACAGGAGGGCCATCTGCGGGCAGCTGAGAGTTCATGAGTATTTGAAGCAGGGGAGGGGACAGGTGGGATCTGCCTCTCAGGCACCAGGCATGGGGAGGGGCTCAGGAGGTCAGTGAGGGGTGGCCCTGGGTCCCCTGGGAGTCCTGGAGTCTCTGTGTGAGCAGGACTTGGCTGTGTGGCGGTTAGAGCCAAGGGTGATCCACCAGCTCCATCCTCATGCCTTGGTGATTTCTTGGAACGCCCCTGGGAGTTGGGTGCAGGTAGAGACTTCGTAGGCCATAGCTCCTGGCACTGTGCTGCCTGCCTGCCCCATCCTGGCTGTGAGTTCGCTGTGAATCCTATGGAATCCTGGCTGTGAGTTCGCTGTGAATCCTATGGAATCCTGGCTGTGAGTTCGCTGTGAATCCTATTGAAAGGGCTACCCCAAGGGGACAGGAGTGCAGGCTCCTACCCTTGGCACTGCCATTGTGCAGCCAGGGGCCTTGGACAGGTTTATGGGCCTCAGTTTCCTCATCTGGAAAATGGAGCCAGCCCAGAGAAAGTGTTTCCTGACCTCCCAGGCTCAGGAAAGGAGTGCAGGAGACCCCACTGGGGCCTGGAGGGTTGAAGGTCCCCTGTATACTGCAGACTTTGGGGATCAGGGACTAAGGGCTGAAGTTTTCCTGGGTTTCATGGACCTTGGGGATTGAGGCCCAGGGCCCCAGTAGGGCTCATGTCCTGGGCTGCTCAAGCCCTGACCTAGGGAGTGATCCTGTGCACCAGATCCTGTTCCAAGGTCTCCACAGGGCAGTCCTGCTCCTCTCAGACCCCAGGAGGGCAAGTCACCAGTTTTGCAGACGGAGAAGTTGAGACTGAGCCAGGTGAGAAATCCAGGTCCAGGACCTGCTGCTGGGAAGGGTCTTGTCAGGATCAGACCCTGGGAACCTATTGATTAGCCTTCCAGGAAACCTGCCCACCCAACTGGGGGCTAAGACCAGGGCATTCCCGGTCAGTGGCTTCTCTTTCTGGCAGCAGAGGCCACAGGAACATGACTTTGCCTCCCCGTGCCCTCTTGGCTGAGGGCTTAAAGGAGGTTGGACCTCTCGGCTGCTCTGAGGAGGCAGATCAGGGCTGTGAGTGTTCAGCGAGGACTCACCCTGCCCTCCCTCCTACCAGTAACTTTCCCAGACCCTCTGCTTGACTTGTGAAGGAAAGCCATTCCAGCAGTGCACTTACATTAGGACCTGGGCATGAGACCCTCCTGGTCAGCTGGCTAGAAATGCGGGGTCTGACGCCAGGACTGCATTTAAGGCCCCCCAGCCCCACTAGGCACCATCCTTCTCTGCTCACGTACAGTTAGGGGGCTGGCATCAATTGTACTGGGCTTGTACTCCAAATCGTTTTATACTTTTGTTTGAGTTTTTAATTTGACAGCACATCTCGGACTTCTTGTAGGTCAGTGTTACCGCGCTGGCTGGTCCCGTTTCTTTGGTTGAGGGTGGTGACTTCACCTTTTTTTAAAATCTTTTTTGAGACAGAGTTTCACTCTGTCAACCAGGCTAGAGTGCAGTGGTGTAATCTTGGCTCACTGCAGCCTCTGCCTCCCGGTTCAAGCAATTCTCCTCCCTCAGCCTCCCAAATAACTGAGACTATAGGCGCACACTACCACACCTGGCTAATTTTTGTTTTTTTAGTAGAGATGGGGTTTCACCATGTTGGCCAGGATGGTTTTGATCTCCTGATCTTGTGATCTGCCCACCTCGGCCTCCCAAAGTGCTGGGATTACAGGTGTGAGCCACCGCACCCAGCCGACTTCACCCTTTATCCCCCATGTCTGTGAGGCTCAATGATGCAGGCAGGACAGGCTCTGGGGATGCTGGGAAGGGGCCATGCTTGCCCCCTTGTTGATGCCTTTCACTGTGACATGTAATCCACTACCTGCAGTTGCTGTCTGAGGACAAGAGCCCTCACTATAGCAGAACCTGGCGGCTGAGAACACAGGATGTGGCTTTTGACAGATGAAGTGTGAACCAAGACAAGACCTTGGTTGACCTCAGACATGCCTAGGCGAGAGCCGACTGGTCAACCTCAGACATGGCTAGTCATGAGCTCCCCACCCGGCTCAGCACAACATGTGGGCAGGCAGGGGCAGGGGCTGCTCCTCCTCCTTTTTTATTTTTTATTTTTTGAGATGGAGACTCGCTCTGTCGCCCAGGCTGGAATGCAGTGGGCACGATCTCGGCTCACTGCAAGCTCTGCCTTCTGGGTTCACACCATTCTCCTGCCTCAGCCTCCCCAGTAGCTGGGACTACAGGTGCCCGCCACCACGCCCGGCTAATTTTTTGTATTTTTAGTAGAGACGGGGTTTCACTGTGTTAGCCAGGATGGTCTCGATCTCTTGACCTTGTGATCCGCCCGCCTCAGCCTCCCAAAGTGCCACCGCGCCCATCCGAGGAGCTGCTCCTTCTAAGACACACTTAGAGGAAGTCAGCTGTGGAGGTGGCCTTGCTGGGATGATCATCATTTCATCCAGTCCTTGCCCCACCCTGCCTGCTGTGGTATTTGTAGGTGGGGAAGTGACCAGGGTCTTCTGGAAAAGCCGGACTGACCCTCAAACCCAGGTCCTCTGGCTCCAGAGCTGGGCCTGGCTGCCTCGGGTGCTTGGGAGGCCCTGGTGGTCACATCTGTCTTGTTTGAGAGAAAGCTATGTTCCCGCGGTGACACACAGTCTCAGTAGAATAAGTCTCGAGGATCAGCCCAGTGCCCAGATGGTTCAGCAGTGGTTAGTGTCTGGGTCCTGGATGGGGAGTGGTATGGCCGCCCCTTCCCTGGGACCCCAGTGGGTGGGAAGGGGATGTGCCCAGGGGATTAGTTACATGTCAGCAGTGGGGATGCTCAAGGTCTTCCCCGAGCATTTTTCTTTTGAACATGCGGCAGAGTTGAAATAATTTTTTGCCTGGACATGCACCAGCTCGATTCCACCCTTCGCATTTCGCCGTGCCTGCTTTCTCACATCTGTCTCCATCCCTTGGTCCACCCCTCCAGGCATCTCATTATTCTAACGAAGTTATCATTTTATTTTTAAAGAATGAGTTCACATTCATCCATTCATCTTCTCACTGGGCAGACACAGCCAGGTGCTTGTTGTGGGTGCTGAGTGCACTCACCCTCGCCAACCTCCCCTCCCATCCGCCAACGGCTACTCCCAAACCTATGGCTGGTGGGGCCTCCTCTCTGCAAGGGCCACAGTGGACTGGGAAGCCACAGAGGAATGCAGAAGTCGCAGCTCTAAATTAAGGACTGGGAAGTGTTGGCCGCCTGGCTGCCCTGGAGAAGGGGCCACGTGGCCAGCCCGTGGCTGCCCTGCTGTGTCTGCCAGGGCTCCAGAATCCCATAGGCACCTCCTTGGCCAGAAGAACAGTGCATATCCAGATCCCAAGATCCTGAAAAAGCAAAGTGGTTTCTGGCCCTTGGGGAGTGCTGATCACGACTCTTGTCCGTGAGGTCAGGCTGCCAGTCCTCTATTCATTTGTTCTTGCATTCATTCATTTATTCATTCCTACACTGATGTCTGCGGATACGGAGCATGGTAGTTGATGAAGAGCCCAACCCTGGAGACAGAATTCAAGTCCTAGCTGTGCCACTGGGAGCTAGGTGACCCAAGGCCAGCAAGAGTCAGTCCAGGGTTATAGGAAATAGCCCAGGCCAGGGGTTAGAGCTGTACCTGGCACAGGTAATGCTCAGTGTCAGCTGTCATCGACCCAGCATCCTTGGGCAGTTCTGCCTCCTGCTGACTCCAGTCCTGCCCACTGTCCCCTCCATCCCCCGGAAGGGCAGGGCAGCTCCTCAGGCCCTCCCCACTCTGTGTACCACCCCTAGAAATTGTGCACCCCTCCCCTGCAGCCTCCCTAATCTGAAGGGCTGGTCTTTTTAACTCTGACAGAGATAAGAAGCAAAAAAAGAGTATCTTCACTTGCTTTTTTTTTTTTCTTTTTGAGATGGAGTCTTGCTCTGTCGCCCAGGCTGGAGTGCAGTGGCATGATCTCAGCTCACTGCAATCTCCACCTCCCAGGTTCAAGGGATTCTTCTGTCTCAGCCTCTGAAGTAGCTGGGACTTCAGGCTCACACCACCATGCCCAGCTAATTTTTGTATTTTTAGTAGAGACAGGTTTTCATCATATTGGTCAGGCGGGTCTCAAACTCCTGACCTCATGATCTGCCTGCCTCGGCCTCCCGAAGTGCTGGGATTACAGGTGTGAGCCACCGTGCCCGGCCAAGTATCTTCAGTTTTAAATGTGCATTTCTTTAACTGACATATTTTCCTCATGATTCTTTAAACAACTTTACCGGGCTATAATTCACATACCATACAATTTACCTATTTAAATCATAGAACTGAGTAGTTTTTGTACATTCATAGATACGTGCTACCATCACTCCAGTCAATTTTTTTTTTTTTTTTTGAGACAGAGTCACTCTGTTGCCTTGGCTGGAGTGCAGTGGCACAATCTTGGCTCACTGCGACCTCCACCTCCTGGGTTCAAGTGATTCTCCTGCCTCAGCCTCCCAAGTAGCTGGGATTACAGGCGTCCACCACCACACCTGGCTAATTTTCATATTTTGAGTAGAGACAGAGTTTCACCCTATTGGCCAGGCTGGTCTCAAAACTCCTAACCTCAAGTAATCCACCTACCTCGGCCTCCCAAAGTCCTGGGATTACAGGCGTGAGCCACCACGCCCAGCCAACCCTTGGTATTGCCTGTCTTTTTGACAGACTTCTTTGTGGTTTTGATTTGTATTTCCCTGAAGGTTAATAATTTTGAGAATCTTCTTGTGCTTATTGGCTGCTAACTTATCTTTTTCAGAGAAATGTCTGTTCAGATCCTTTGGCCATTTTAAAATTTTGTCGTCTTATTATAATTGAGTTGTAATAATTCTTTATATGTTCTAGACACATGCCTCTTATCAGATACATGATTTGCAAGTATTTTCTCCCTATTGGTAAGTTGTCTTTTCACTTTATTGAATGTGTCCTTTAAAGCACAAACATTTTTCATTTTGATGAAGTCCTGTTTGAATGTGTCCTTTAAAGCACAAACATTTTTCATTTTGATGAAGTCCTGTTTTTCTTTTTCTTTTGGTGTTTGTCTTTGGTGTTAGACCTAAGAAACCATTGCCAAAGTTCACAAAGATTTTCCCCTCTATTTTCTTCTAAGAGTTTCATAGTTTTAGCTCTTACTTTTAGGTCTTTGATTCATTTTAATTTTAGTATATGGTATGAGCTAGGGGTCCAGCTTCAGTTGTCCCAGCATCAATTTGTTGAAAAACTATTCCTTTCCCATTTAATTATCTTGGTACCCTTGTTGAAAATCATTTGACTGTAAATGTAAGGGTTTACTTCTGCATTCTCAGTTCTATTCTGTTGGCCTTTATGTCTGTCCTTATGATAGTACCACACTGTTTTGATTACTCTAGCTTTGTAATAAGTTTTGAATTTGGTAAGTGTGAACCCTCCAACTTTGTTCTTTTTCAAGAGTGTTTCGGCTATTCTAGGTCTTTTGCATTTCCATATGAGCTTTAGGATCAGCTTGTTGATTTCTAGAAAGAAAGCAGCTGGATTCTGATAAAGATTTTGTTGAATCTGTATATCAGTTTGAGGAATACAGTAGATTCAACGAATACAGTAGATTCAATGAATGCAGTAGATTCAATGAATATAGTAGATACAATGCATATAGTAGATACAATGTATCCAAGGGAGATACATTCCAAGACCCCTCAGTGCATGCCTGAAACTTCAGATACCATATACGTTGTTTTTTTTTCTAAACACATGTACCTATGATAAGTTTAATTTATAAATTAAACACAGTGAAAGATTAATGATAGCTCATAATAAGTTATACCAATTATAACAATATATTGTAATGAGAGTAATGTGAATGTGGTCTCTCTCTCTCTAAATATCTTAATAGACGGTACTCACCCTTCTTGTGATGATGTGAGATGATAAAATGCCTACATGATGAGATGAAGTGAGATGAAATACATAGGCCTTGTGATGGAATGGGAAATTCCAGAAATAATTTGTAAGTTTTACACTGTGAGCCACTCTGGGTATTTTGACGAAATCTCACCCATCCTGCTCCACCCCGCCTGGGATTGCTGTGAGTCACTTAGTAGCCCTCTGTGTTATCAGATCCCCTGATACTGCAGTGTTTGTGTTCAAGCAACTCTCATTTTACTTAATAATGGCCCCAAAGCACAACTGTTGTGAGGTAACTATTTTCTGATTGTGGAACCACCACCGGTAACTGAAACCATGGAATGTGAAAACAAGGATAAGGAGGGACTACCATAATATGTTGCCATCACAACAATATTAAGTCTCCTGATCCATGAGCATGGGATGTTTTCCCATTTATTTAGGTCTTTAATTTCTTTCAACAACGTTTTGTAGTTTTCAGAGTTATGTTTTGCACTTCTGTTATTAAATTTGTAACATTCTTTTTGATGCTATTGTATAAAATGTTTTTCTTAATATTCAATTTGCTCCCTGCTGCTGTACAGAAATACGTTTGACTTGTGTATGTTGACCTGGTATTCTACAACCTTGCTGAACTCATTTCTATTTATAATAGCTTTTAGTGGATTTCTGAGGCTTTTCTACATATATACAAAATCATGTCATCTAATGGAGATTGTTTTACTTCTTCCTTTTTTTTTGTTTTTGTTTTTGTTTTTGTTTTTTTGAGATGGAGTCTCACTTCGTTGCCCAGGCTGGAGTGCAGTGGTACAATTTCGGCTCACTGCAACCTCTGCTTCCTGGGATCAGGCGATTCTCCTGCTTCAGCCTCTCAAGTAGCTGGGATTGCAGACATGTGCCACCCACACCCGGTTAATTTTTGTATTTTAGTAAAGATGGGGTTTCACCATGTTGGCCAGGCTAGTCTTGAACTCCTGACCTCAATTGATCCACTGCCTCGGCCTCCCAAAGTGCTGGGATTCTCAGGTATGAGCCACCGTGCCCGGCCGAGCCATTTGTCTTTCTTTTCTAACTTCCCCATTTTGTTGTGATTTTTGTCATTGGCTTATGAATATCTAAGTGCTGTTTATGTAGAGAAGATACAAATCTCCTATTACATATATGTTACAAATGTAAGAATCTCAGACGCTGCATCTAGTGGTGGCTCCCTCCCTGCGATCAGTGGGCATTTGGGCAGGTGCGTCCACCTCTTTGAGCCTTATCTGTAATAATGCAGATAAGGAATGCGGGGTGCTCTTGAACAAAATATTCCATCCATACATGCATTGTTATTGTTAGTAGCTGTGCGAATGCTGAGGATCTATGCATAGACAGGGAGCCGTCAGAATGACCCTGCCCAGGCCAGAGGCTGGCCTTCCCCAGATACTGAAGGGGCAGAAAGGATGGGGACAGCCCGGGGATGAAGAGCCAGGTGGCTGCGGTTGACCCTGGCAGAACCACAAACTGGCTATGTGACCTCAGTGTCCCTGAGCCATGGTTTCTGGGGCTGCAGAATGGGGGAGGCAGCTCTTCCAAGGACAACATGGCTCCTGCCCTCATGTGTACCAGGCACAGCCACCTTCCAGATGCCTTCCAGACACCTCATTTCCTCCACATTCCAGTCCAAGGTGGGCACAACAGCTGTGCTGACGTTGACGCCGGGGCAGGCTCCCTTGCCTGGGCCCCCAGATGCGTGTGGTGGAGGTGGCCTAGGAGCCCCACAGGCTGGACCTCGTGTGTTCGTTTATGTACTGTCGCCCGACAGCTGCTGAAGCGCTCAGCACAGAGTACAGCCTGGGCATTATTCTTCCTTCTATTATTATTGTTGCTGCTGATATTCCTACTTTTGTTATTGTCACCTTGGGGCCCCGAGTGGGCCAGGCAGAATCCCAAGCGCTAAATAAGGCACTGGGCTGAGACGTGTTGCTGAAGCTTTGTATCAGATTTGAGCCAGTCCACTTAACAAATCCACAAAAAAACAGTGGCCTAACTCCAGTTGGAGTTTATTTCTGTCTCTTCTTAGGATCCGAGAGGTTGCTCTGCCCCTTCACACGTCCACCATCTTTGCTCCCTGTATTAGTCAGGGTTCTCTAGAGGGACAGGACTAATAGGATAGATGTATATATAAAGGGGAGTTTATTAAGGAGTACTGACTCAAACGATAACAAGGTGAAGTCCCACAATATGCTGCCTGCACGCTGAGGAGCAAGGAAGCCAGTCCGAGTCCCAGAACCTCAAAAGTAGAGAAGACAGTGCAGCCTTCAGTCTGTGGCTAAAGGCCCGAGAGCCCTTGGCAAGCCACTGGTGTAAGTCCAAGAATCCAAAAGCCGAAGAACTTAGAGTCTGATGTTCAAGGGCAGGAAGCATCCAACATGGGAGAAAGATGGAGGCCAGAAGATTGAGCCAGTCTAGTCCTTCCATGTTCCTCTGCCTGCTTTTAGTCTAGCCTTACTGGCAGCTGATTAGATGGTGCCCACCAGATTAAGGGTGGGTCTGCTTCTCCCAGTCCACCAACTCAAATGTTAATCTCCTTTGGCAACACCCTCACAGACACACCCAGGGACGATACTTGCATCCTTCCGTTCAACCAAGTTGACACTCAGTATTAACCATCACACTCCCCAATGCAGAATTGGCACAGCATCTATGCTCACACCTCATTGGCCAGGTTCAGTCATGTGACAGCTCCCTAGAGGGCAGGTTGGGAAATGTAGTTTTCAGTGGTGATCACATTTCCAGCTGCAACTCTGGAATGGGGAGAAGGGTTACTAGAGGCATCCACAGCCAGGAGTGGGAACTAGAGTGGAAGCTGCCCAGGATGAGGTGAGATGGGCAGATGCTACCCCCTGGGCTTGGCCATCAGGTGGGGCTCCCGACACAGTGTGCTGGGTCCCAGTTCCATCCCTACCACATTCCCACTGAGTGACCTTGGGCATGTCACTGAGCTTTGCTGTGCCTCAGTTTCCCCATCTGTAAGCTAGGGGTAGACCACCCTCCTCATAGGGCTATAATGCAGTACGGCACCCATTAGGCCCCCAGTGTTGTTTGTGTTAGATCAGTCCCTCCCCCATCCCTCCCAGAAAAGTACACAAACCATAAGCCCCTCCCACACCTCTTCCTCCCTTACTAGCAAGTGTCGTCAGGGCAGAATCTGTGTAGCCTGACCTTCCCAAAGTGGTGGGGCATGTCTGCCTCAACCCCTGCTGAGGGCTACCCCTGCCTCCACACTCTCACCCTCAGCATCTCAGCTTGTTAAGGCCCTGGGGTCCTCAGTGACACAGAGGCCAGGGGGCAGGGGGACTACTGGGTGCTGCTGGGGAGTAGGTCAATGTGACCTGGCCAGCTACAGCCAAATGCCATCCTTTACTGTCACTGCCATGGCACAGAGCCTCTGGTAACCTCCACTTTTGCCAGATCCCAGACCAGATTTCCGGGCCTGGCCTGAAGCCCAGCTCTGCTGATGCCCATTAATAGCCGTGGCACACATGGCTGGGGCAAGGGGTGGTGTGACTTCTCTGAGCCTCAGTTTCCCCCTAGATGGGCTTGTGAATTCAGATGTGGTATAAGAAATGGAGTGATAGGTCTTGCAGATGAAGACCTTGCCTGGGCACACAGCCAGCCCACGTGACTGTTCCTGGGCGGACGTGAATAAATCTGGGGGATGGTATGCAGCCTACCTCAGATGTCTTTGGTAAACATTTTAAAATTAGAGTCCACAGAGTTTGCTGGCAAATTGGTTGTGGATTGAGAAAGTAGGTTTCAAGGTTTGGGGCCCAAGCAACTGAAGGATGGAGGGACTGCTGATTTAAATTGAACTTATAACAGGAGAAGCCACATGGTGAGCAGGTTTGGGGAGCTCAGAAGCTTGGCTAGGTCTCATCTCAGGCTCGGTGGGCAGTGAGACTTCCATGCCTGGCACCCGGGGCACGGTCCTGGCTGGAGACACAGCACACAGAAGCCAGGGGAAGGTCATAGCAGGTCAGTGTGGAATATTGAAGTCCCTCAGACTCTGCATGCCCCAGTTTTTGTCCCCGCCATCACCCCCATCTCTGGGTGTCAGGCCCTGCCTGTGCAGAGGGAGACAGACACAGAGATGTTTAGGTGGCCCTTCACCACTGCTGTCTCCGGTCAGTCTCTGCCTCTGCCCATGCCATGAATCAGCACGGCCTGCTGTCCCTGTTCTTTTTTTTTTTTTTTAATTTGAGACGGAGTCTCACTCTGTTGTCCAGGCTGGAATGCAGTGGCGCAATCTCGGCTCATCGCAAGCTCCGCTTCCTGGGTTCATGCCATTCTCCTGCCTCAGCCTCCCGAGTAGCTGGGACTACAGGCACCCGCCACCACACCCAGCTAATTATTTTTGTGTTTTTAGTAGAGACTGGGTTTCACCGTGTTAGCCAGGATGGTCTCAATCTCCTGACCTTGTGATCTGCCCACCTCAGCCTCCCAAAGTGCTGGGATTACAGGCATGAGCCACCGCGCCCGGCCTGTCCCTGTTCTCTACCTGTGATGCACCAGCAGTCCACTGTCAATGCCCAAAAATCAGGACATACCAGATAAGCAGGAGGAAGAGCCTCTTGCATCTGGACACCAGGAGACCTGCTCGAGGATGTCTTTAGCAGTTTCACTGAACATCCTTGACACCCAGAGGCAACTCAGATGCGGGGAACAGGGACACACACTGAGGCCCATCTGCACAATGGAACACTTCACTGCTGTGAAAAGTAACCAGCTGCTGATACATGCATAGCACGACAACTCATATACATTGTGTGTGTATATGAATGTGTGTGAAGTTAGACCAGAGCCTCCTTGTCTGGTTCTAAGTCTTCCCTCAGCATAAGAGCTGTGTGACTGCAGAAAGTGTTGTAAGACCCTCTGCCCGGTTTGCTCATCTGTCGATGGGGATAATGATGGTTCTCCTTGGGTAGGCTGCTGTGCCGATAGATGATGGCACATGTAAGGCAGGTGCAACGGCGTCTAGCCACAGTAATCTTCTCAGTCCCAGCTGTTGTCGTCATTAGAATTTTATAAAAATTCTTGATTGCTGCTGCATCCAGAGCATCTCTGTGTCCTTATATAAGAACATCACTGGCCAGGCATGGTGGCTCATGTCTGTAATCCCAGCACTTTGGGAGGCCACGGCGGGCAGATCACGAGGTTAGGAGTTCGAGACCAGCTTGGCCAACATGGCGAAACCCTGTCTCTACTAAAAATACAGAAAATTAGCCAGGCGTGGTCGCACATTCCTGTAATCCCAGCTACTCGGGAGGGTGAGGCAAGAGAATCGCTTGAACCCGGGAGGCGGAGGTTGTTGTGAGCTGAGATCGCGCCATTGCACATTTCAGCCTGGGCGACAGGGCGAGACTCCGTCTCAAAAAAAACAACAACAACAACAAAAAAAATAAGAACATCACTGTAAGTGCTCCCTGGTATTTTACCGTCTGGATGGACCTGGGTGAGGGAATCATTCCCTTCCACGGGAGACGTGGGTTGTTTCAGCCTTTCTTTATTACGTATGGTTCTGAGGTGGGCTTCCCCATAATCTTGGCAGCAGATTCTTTCTTTTTTTCTTTTTCTTTCTTTCTTCTTTTTTTTTTTTTTGAGATGGAGTCTTGCTCTGTCGCCAGGCTGGAGTGCAGGAGTGCAGTGGTGTGATCTTGGCTCACTGCAACCTCCGACTCCCTGGTTCAAGCATTTCTCCCACCTCAGCCTCCCAAGTAGCTCGGATTACAGGCATGCACCACCACACCCAGCTAATTTTTGTATTTTTAGTAGAGATGGGGTTTCACCATGTTGGACAGGCTGGTCTCAATCTCCTGACCTCGTGATCCACCTGCCTTGGCCTCCCAAAGTGCTGGGATTACAAGCGTGAGCCACCGCGCCCGGCCAGCAGATTCTTATTTCCTGTGGCTGAGGGTGCATATGCAACATAGGGTGCTTAACGAATTTACCAAACGCTCTGCAGAAAGGTTGGATCTGTACCCCAGCCCGGGTACAGGGCTTCCCAGGCCCTGCCAACTTGCACATTGTTTTCTTTTTGCCTTCACCTCACTGATGCAGGAAAAATGAGCTCTCCCTTGAATCAGCATTTCCTCAGTTGCCTGTGGGTCTGCATTTTTCATGACTGTGGGCCATTGGTGTCCTTGCGAATTGCTTGTTCACACATTAGAACTTGTTTTTTTTTTTTTTAAAAACGGAAAATTCAGTTTTCATTGATGTGTAAGACCTCTTTATAAATTAAGACTGTCGAACCAACCTTTGTCCTGTGCTTTCCAAATATCCTCTCCCGAATTTTTCACCTGAGTTGGTTGTTTTCCGTTATTAGGAGCCTCAGAAGCTTTCGCTTTCTGCTTTGTATGCAGTCAAATCTGTTGCGCTCTCTCTGTCCCTCTTGTTTTTTCGTTCTGATTTCTGCCTTTGGAACTGTGTTTAGGTCATAATCAAAGGCAATGCCTCAGTGTCTCAGGGAAGGTATATTTGCTTTTATTGTCTTCTAACATGTGTTTCTTTTTTTTAACGCTCCAATCCTCAACGTCTAGAGTGTACTTCCTGGAGGGATCCAGCTCTGCATTGTCCCTGGGTCTGGATGACCCCATGTGACCTCTAGAGCATCCAATGGCCTTTAGAGCCGCATCCTGCCCCTGTGCTCCCCAATGCTGTGCCGGCTCCTCCCTCCAGGGTCCTGCCCAGCCCCGCCCTGCGTGCCCACCCCCCATGCCTCACACCTGCCTCTCTCCCCAGGTACCTGCGCTCAGGTGCGGCTACCCCCGCAAGCCACCTTCCAAGTCCTTCGTGGCGATGGTGCTTCCGTGGGGACCGTGCTCATGTTCCACTGCCCCTCCAACCACCAGATGGTGGGGTCTGGGCTCCTCACCTGCACCTGGAAGGGGAGCATCGCTGAGTGGTCTTCGGGGTCTCCAGTGTGCAAACGTAAGGACCCCTCTCTCAGCTCAGTAGCTCTGGGGGTGGGGGATGGCCCCAAATCCTGTCATGGGGATGGTGCAGGTGGGGATGGCGCGGGTGGGGATGGCACGGGTGGGGATGGTGCGGGTGGGGATGGTGTGGGTGGGGATGGCATGGGTGTCTACTCACAAGGGCTGGGCCAGTGTGTAGGATCCCGTTCCCAACACTGACAGCCTGCTTACATATCAGCAGCCAGCTGGTGGCCCTCAACCCTCCCACTGCCATGTTGGCAGCGTGGACCCGAAGCCTAGCAGTGGGCCTCCAATCCTGGCTCTGCTACTGACTTAGCCCCTCACTGCCAAGAGGCTGCGCAAGCTCTCTGAGCCAGCACGTTTTCATCTGTTAAGCAGGAAACTATGTTCATTCATTCATTCATTCATTCATTCATTCATGTACACGTGGACATGGCAAACTTTAATAGGATATTTCATGTATTAGGAATGCTAAGTACTGGCAACACGGAAGGTCACGATGTGCCTGGCCCTGGAGCTCCCAGTCTGTGGGAGGAGATGGTTTTCTGATTGTATTTGTTGTAAAGGTGTTGGAGGGTCCACAAGGTAGTCCCTTTTCAGTGCCCAGAATGGCACGTCCAGAATGAAGCCATGTGTATTATGTTCATGTGTTTTGTGCATGAAAAGGGCTCAGAGTCAAAATACAGTTTGGCAGCTTCTGGGTTTTTATGCTGCGGGACTTCTCAGAATCTTTCAAATGTTCACATGCTGGTGATTCTCTGAGAATGCGAGTGTTCGGATTAGCTTTTGAGAGCAGAAAACCCAAAATGCTAGGATTAACTATGATGGAGCTCAGCCTTCGGGGTGGGCAGGCAGGCCTGTGTGGGCTCCATGGCAGTGGGAGCCAGGCCCATTCCCTGGCATGGCTCTGCTGGGCATGCCCTCAGCCTCATGATTCAAGGTGGCAGCAGTTGTGTTCCAGGCAGCTGTTATGGGGTGAGGGGCCCTGGGGCCAAAGGGCAGGCCCCAGTATCTCAGGGAAGGTTCTTAGAAGTTGTCCCACATCACTTCTTATCCTCCACTGGCCAGAACATGGTCCTGTGACCACTGGGAAATGTAGTCTCCATTCTGGGTGGCCAGCATCCACTAGGGAGCATGGGAAATGGGGACCAGGGGACAGGGCTGTGGCCCCTACTAGGGGAGTACATGGTGTTGCTCAAATTAGGATTCTGGGGCCTTTTTTAGCCAGAACATCCAGTAGAATCTGATGGAACTAGTGTTTGGAGCATAGCTGAGGTCACACAGCAGATACATAGTATTTTGGGCCTTCCTGCAAAGTAACCTGAGAAGGAATGTAGGCCCCCTGAAGAATGTTGCCACCTTGGGGCATTGTGAGAACCCAGACCATGGACTGGGCAAGGCCTCCTCAGCCCTGTCTGTTGTCACCTCCTCTCTGTGGCCTGCCCTTCCTTCATTCCTCAGGCAGGACTCCATTGGGTAGGAGCCACGTAGGCCATCACTCTGAACTCTCTGCCAGAGCTCCTCTAACTGGCCGCTCTGCAAACTCCTACACACCCTACAAAACCCTGCTCAAATACCCCCTTCAATTAGCCACTCTGCATACTCCTACACACCCTACAAAACCCTGCTCAAATACCCCCTTCAATTAGCCACTCTGCATACTCCTACACACCCTGCTCAAATACCTGTTTCTTGGGGAGAGTCTTCTCTGATAGCCCCACCTCCAAATATAGTTTGCACAGATCCTTACCTCAGCCCCCAGCACCTCACTACCCCCTTACCATGCAACAGGGCTCACTGAGGGCTGCCCGGGCCCTGTACACACCCAGGCCCTGCCCCTACCACCCCTGAGATCCCCAACCCCTGGGCCAGGCAGATCTGGGCAAACCTCGCCCAGGAGCTGTGGTTGTCTCCCACACAGTGGTGCCACCACACGAGACCTTTGGCTTCAGGGTGGCCGTGATTGCCTCCATCGTGAGCTGCGCCATCATCCTGCTTATGTCCATGGCCTTCCTCACCTGCTGCCTCCTCAAGTGCATGAAGAAGAGTAAGCAGCGGCGCTCCGACAGGTATGGTGGCCTCATGGTCTCAGGGTCCTCCCGGGAGGCGCCTCTTGGCACCATGGGAGGAGGAAAGGGCAGAGTGTTTCATGGGAACCCCGGCACTGCCCTCAGGGCACGCACCCGTTCCTACCACTGCTCTGAGCCTGCGTCTCACCAAGCGCTGCTCCTGGCCCATGCAGCAGCCACGGGCAGCATCACAGCCGGGGAGCATGTGGGCCTCCGAGGCCCTGCTCTTAGGCCAGGCCATGGGTTCATGGGGGATTGGTTTTTTTTGGTTTTTTTTTTTTGAGACGAAGTGTTGCTCTATCGCCCAGGCTGGAGGACAGTAGCGTGATCTCAGCTTGCTACAACCTCCACCTCCTGGGTTCAAGCAATTCTCCTGCCTCAGCCTTCCTAGAAGCTGGGGTTACAGGTATGCACCACCACACTTGGCTAATTTTTTGTATTTTTCGTGGAGATGGGGTTTCACCATGTTGGCCAGGCTGGTTTTGAACTCCTGACCAGGTGATCCACCTGGTGATCTGCCTCCCAAAGTGCTGGGATTACAGGCGTGAGCCACCGCGACCAGGCTGGGATTGTTTTATTCTTAAACCTGCACACATATGCAGTATGCACTCTGCTGTGTTAACGGCCTGCAGGGCTGTCACACACGCCCCCTAAACCTTGAGGGGGAGTCACTGTCACTGCAGATGGAGGGCTGGTTAGCTGTAGCCCACCAGCGAAGTCCAGCTCCCTGTCAGGTTTTTTCCCCATGGTAATTTATTATTATTTTTTGTTTTTATTTTTTATTGTGGTAAAATATCAATACATCAGACTTACCTTTTTAACGCCTACAGTTCAGTGGCGTTAAGTATGTTCCTGACATCGTGCAGCCATTAGCACTGTCCAGCCCTAGAACTTCCCACCACCTGTATTTGTGAGTAAAGTTTTACTGGAACACAGCCGTGTTCATCGTCTACTGGTGTGTGGCTGCTTTTGGGCTGCAGCGGCAGAGCTTAGCTGTGGGAGAAATCATGTGTCTCACCGCACCTAAAACATCCACTGCCCAGCTCTTTGAGAGGTTTGCCAGCCTGCGCTGGTCCTGCAGACGGTGCCGTGGGCCTACATGGAGCCCGTTTCCACCGCTGTCAGGGACACACGTGCATGCTCAGAGTCCTTCCTCCCAAACTCTCCTCCAGGTCAGCCCAGCTGTGGTCCCAGCTGAGAGATGAGGACTTGGAGACAGTGCAGGCCGCATACCTTGGCCTCAAGCACTTCAACAAACCCGTGAGCCGGTCCAGCCAGGCGCACGACAACCACAGCTTCACCACGTGAGCCCGGGTCTGGGTGGGGGGCATGCTGGGGGACAAGGGGTCCAGCTGGGTCAGGCCCCGGGCCGCCTGCTGCTCCCACACGCTGAGAGCCTGAGAACACCTGGCCCACCCAGAACCTTAACTCCCTTCTCTAAAACAAGAGGCTGGGGGTCCTTGCAGCCCTCTGTCCTGACTAACGTTCTAGGACTCAGAACTGCCCCCCGGATTGTTTTCATCTGGAGGGTCCATCCTCCAGGGAAGCTGAAGCTTCTACACACCTGTGTTCCCTCCACCCACACCCAGCGGGGCTCTGCACTGAGCTTCAGTCACTTGCTCTCCCTCCCGTGCTCTCTCCCTCTCCTTTCTCTCTCTCTTAATACACACATACTTTTTTTTTGCCCTGAACCAATACAAGGACATTCTTTTTCTGAGTCCAGAAATCTAATACTGATTGGCCAGGCGTGGTGGCTCACACCTGTAATCCCAGCAGTATGGGAGGCTGAGGTGGGAGGATCACCTGAGGTCAGGAGTTCGAGACCGCCAGGCCAACATGGTGAAATCCCATCTCTACTAAAAACACAAACATTAGCTGGGTGGTGGCGTGTGGCTTTAATCCCGGCTACTCAGGAGGCAGAGACAGGAGAATCACTTGAACCCAGGAGGCGGAGGCTGCAGTGAGCCAAGTTTGCGCTACTGCACTCTAGCCTGGGCAACAGAGCAAGACTCCGTCCCAAAAAAAATAAAAACCAACAGAAATCTAATATTGATTGTGTGTGGCCTGTCGAGTGGAGAACGTCTCAGTGTGGTGAGCAGCATTGACCGTGCCTACCCTTTGGTCCATAATCACACGCAGCGCTCAGCTGCCAGGTCTCTGGGCTCCTTAAATCGGTATGGGCCTTCAGATTTTCATGTTGTAGTCCTCTGAGGGCTCCAGGCCAGTGGGCCCATGCAGAGGTCCTGTCTGGATCTGTCTGGGGTTTCTGTGTGACCAGGGCCAGCTGTGCACTTCTGGTACAGGGCTGCGTGTGCAGATCACAGACATGGGCCAGGCCGCCCCAAGACGCCACATGGAATGGGGTCTCTTGGCTGAGGCAAAGCCCCCCAGATCCCTCCACTCTCAGAGCCTGAGGAAGGGGCTCTGCAAGCGTCCCTCCACTGTCTCAGCTTCCTCCGACTCGTGGTCTCCGCGTGCAAGGGTGATCCTGCCAGATCTGCTCTTGCCTTGGGCCTTACAGAATGGTGACTTTGTTCATTCTGTTGCACTTCTGACATTCCTTCTATCAAGGATGAGGATGAGCTGTTTTTTTCTTCCCTTTTTTTCTTTCGATTTTGTTTTGTTGTTTTAGCATCACATGAACTCATGAATATTCTTTTCTGAAACTTTTATTTTGGGAAAAGTTCACAAATACACAAAAGTAGAATATCGTCACGGATCTCCTGTCCCTGCCTCCCGTTCTCACGGTTACCAGCTCAGCCAGGCCACCTCATTCATGCCCCTTCCCCTGCATTATTTTCAAGCACACTTTTTGTGGGCTCCAGTTGTTCTTGGCAGTGGGAGCTGTGCCAAGCCATGGCCTGTGTCCTTCTGATCCATCCCCATCAGTGTGTGAGTGCTTCCTGCCTTGCACAGGATGTCCCAGGCCCATCTCGTGCTTTCTGTGCCCAGCTCCGCGGTTCGCCACTGCTCCAGGAGCCCTGTTTCTCTGGGTGGAGAACAGCGCTTAGACGCCGGGCTCCGGGAAGCCATCGAGACGACATCATTGAGCTTGCGTTCCCTTCCTTCAGGCCCTCCCGCTGGAGCCTTTCAAGCCTGCAGTGCATTTGGTCCTAGCCCTCATGGCCTCACTGTATGACTGTAACAGCTCCATGCCTCGGTGTCCTCATGTGTAAAGTGAGGATTGCAGTAGCGCCCACCCTTTCAAGTTGTTGAGGTTACCTGAGTCCAGGTGTGTGCCTCTCTCGCCAGGCCCAGGGGCGAGCTCAGTGAATACTGGCTGTTAGTGTCGTTGCCACTCTTACGACCTTATGCAGACGGGGAAACTGAGGCACAGGAGGTGGTGATCTGTGCGGCCCTGGGTTGCACACCCCATGCTGGGTCTAGCCAACACCTGCAGGGAAGGAATTCACCTTTCTGTCTCCTTTCCTGGTGCTTCAGGTGTGTATTACATCAACACAGATGTAGCAGAAATGCTGCTATCGAGACTTCTGCACTTAGCAACACGCTCCAGGTCACCATGGTGGTCTGAGGCCTCCAGGCTATCATTCCTTACAGCAGCCCATTATTCCAAAGCTTCCAGCATCTGCTAGACCCTCCCCTGCTGAGTGGCCAGGCGTGGTCAGTGTCTTTTTGCTTAGTGCTGCTTTTCTTTTCAAGACCACAACTCTTGGAGGTGATCCTAGGACTCGATTGTTTAGGCCCAACAGTCTGAATATTTTATGACCACATTATTTCCCTGGGAGCTCTGGTACGAGTGAGTGTGGCCATGTTTTTCTGGTAACTGCATCATCACTGAGTGCTGACCATTTGTTTATCATTTGTTTCTTGCAGTAGCTACAAGTTGTGTGGGTGGTTTCCGTCAGCATTTCTTTGATAAATGTCGAGGAAGAATGTTTTCTCCAGCCTTGGCTCGCCAGTGCCATTGCTGGCATTAGTCATTTTCTCATTTTCTCTGCTGAATTACCTCCTAATGTTTTGTTCCATGTGTTGTAGGAGGGCACCTGACCCATCGATTGGCTATAAATTTATTAGGCCTCTTTCCTTTTTTTTTTTTTTTTTGAGATGGAGTCTCGCTCTGTTGCCCAGGCTGGAGTCTCGCTCTGTCGCCCAGGCTGGTGTCTCGCTCTGTTGCCCAGGCTGGAGTCTCGCTCTGTCGCCCAGGCTGGAGTGCAGTGGTGCGATCTCGGCTCACTGCAAGTTCCACCTCCCGGATTCACACCATTCTTCTGCTCAGCCTCCCGAGTAGCTGGGACCAAAGGCGCCCGCCACCACGCCCGGCTAATATTTTGTATTTTTAGTATAGACAGGGTTTCACCGTGTTAGCCAGGATAGTCTCTATCTCCTGACCTCATGGTCCGCCCACCTCAGCCTCCCAAAGTGCTGGGATTACAGGCGTGAGCCACCATGCCCAGCTCCTCTTTTTTTTTTTAAGACAGTCTCACTATGTTGCCTAGGCTGGAGTGTAGTAGTGCTATCTCGGCTCACTATAACCTCCGCTTCCTGGGTTCAAGCAATTCTCCTGCCTCAGCCTCCTGAGTAGCTGGGACTACAGGCGCGTGCCAGCATATCCGACTAATTTTTGTATTTTTAGTAGAGATGGAGTTTCACCATGTTGGCCAGGATGGTCTCAAACTCCTGGTCTCAAGCAATCCACCCATCTCAGCCTCCCAAAGTGTAATCCCAAAGTGCTGGGATTACAGGTGTGAGCCACCATGCCTGGCCCCCTTTCCTTTTTATTTTAGTTTTGTTGGGGCCATGGTGGCTAATGCCTTTCCTTTTGGGTAGTGAGATATCCAAAGCCAGTTTCAGAGCTCCTCCATTGCCCCACCTGTGATCCCACTCCCCATTACTGAGACCACATCATCCTGTGTCATAACTGGGAAAAGTGGAATGGGGGAAGGAATAATTGCCTCTCAAGGCAACATGGTGTCCGGGATGATGGCAGCCACAGCTGCTGCTGCTGCTGCAGGGGCTTTGCTGGCCAGAGGGGCTCCCAGGGGTGCCGTTTGGGGCCACACGTCTGCCTGGTCCCAGCGCCACAGACACTGTCTCTTCCACTGCAGGAACTTGCGCAGTATGTGGTCGGACGTGCACGTCCCATCCAAGAGTGACCACAGATCTGTGTACAGAGCTGTGTTCACCTCCCAGGGGAGTGAGACAGCCAGGCGGGAGGGAGGCACCCTGACAGGGCTGTGAGAGGCTGGAGGAGGCCAGCTTGGGGGACTCTGATAGTCAGCTCAAGAGGCAGGAAGTGGTGGTGAGGCTGAGGGGGGGTGGGAGGGGCATGCTTCGGGCAGAGCCCTTTCCCAGAGCTCTCGCACACACGGGGACCTCGAGCACTTAGCCCAGCTTCGTGGGGACTCAGAGAAGCCAGGTCCTGCCCAGGACTTCGCAGCCAATGGAGGCAGAGTTCCCTGAGTCCCCAGCCCTGGGCCCCGGGCTGCCAGGCAGGATCCTCGGGATCTGCCTGTTCTGGGACTGCCCACCCCTCAGGCAGGGCCCAGGCTACCTCCATAGATGGTAAATTTCCTTGAGCAAGGTGAGGTTTGCCTCTTGACCTTGTTTTTATTTCATAAGTACTTCTCAGAAGTTGCAATGTGACAGGCACTGTTCTGAACTCTTTCAAATATTAACTCTTTTCACCTAGGGGTGGGTACTACTTTTATCCCATTTTCCAGGTGAAGAACCGTCAGATTAAGAAACCTGTATAGACTCCCACACAACCAGTCAAAGAGGCTGGGTGAAGTCAGTCTGGCTCCTGGCTCCCCGAAGCTCCCTTTTGTCTCCACCAGTTATTGATTCTTTAACTTACTCATTGCATAAGCAGATCATTTCTTATTTCCTACTACTTACTAGAGTTTTTCTGAGAATTAGTTGTGGGTGGGAGCTGTGGTCCAGGAAGGCTTCCTGGAAGAGGTGATGCCGGAAGTGAAAGGACTAAGAGAGCCTGCTTTGGGAGGGGAGAGAGACAGCCTCTGAGAGGAGGAAAGGGCAAACGGCTGGAGGTGGGAGCCGCCAGGCAGCCCACATGGAGCAGAGGCCAGTGTGCGTGGAAGCTGGAGATGGGGCAGGGCCAAGGTCTGGTCAGCCTGGGGAATGGCTTGGTTTTTGTCTGGGGTGTGGGAGAGCCACGAGAGGACTGAGGGTGGAGCAGGTGGGTGATCCAGCTCCTGGCCACCAAAGAGGCAGGCCTGGCAGGAGGGAAGATGTCTTCCCCTTGACCTCCTTCTCCCCAGCATCCCTCCTCTGCCTGGGACGTCCCAGGCCCTGGCCAAGCAGCTGGGTTTCTGGTGGTTTCTGCACACTCTGAATGAGTCCCAGGAAGTCCCTTCCCACACCTTAGAGGGGCGAGTGTCTGACTCCTGGGCCACACCCTGGTTATGTGGATGAAGGACCCACTTGCCAACAGGGCCCAGCAGGGAGATGGAATGGCTTCTGTGCACCTTAGGGTGCAGGGTAGCTCCTGGCAGGAGGAAGCGAGCTCCTCAGTGCTCAGGTCGACAGTTGCCCCAGGCCCACTGAAGGCCCAGGGCCTGGGTACCTGGGAAGGTATGGAGTTGGGGGTTAAACCCTATCTACACTCTTTTGCCAACTCATGCCTCCTCTCTCCACAGAGACCATGTTGAGAGCACCAGCAAGCTGGCCAGTGTGACCTGTAGTGTGGACAAGGACCCTGGGATCCCCAGAGCTCTGAGCCTCAGTGGCTCCTCCAGCTCGCCCCAAGCCCAGGTGATGGTGCATATGGCGAACCCCAGACAGCCCCTGCCTGCCTCTGGGCTGGCCACAGGAATGCCACAAAAGCCCGCAGCATATGCCCTAGGGTGACCGTGCAGTGAGGCTTGCGCCCATGCTCCACAATGGGAGGCCAGACTCACCCCACCAGCCAGTCAGCTGCAACTCCACGTGAACTCCACACGCGTCCAGCTCGAGACTAATGAGTGGAATCAGCTTCCAGGTGTAGGGACCCCTTGGGGGGCTGAGCTGACTTCCAAGGCTGAGGACCCCAGCGGGAGTGTTCTGTTCCGACACATCCTGGCTGTAACGAGTTTTATAGTTATGGACTACTTGAAACTACTACTGAGGGTAATTGACCAGCTGTGGCCTCCCACTAACTAGTATTCCTTTAAAGAGACTGGGAAATGCTTTAAGCAAATCTAGTTTTGTATAATAACATAAGAAAATAGCAATAAACTTCTTTTCAGCAACTACAGATGGCTACCTCAACATCTTCCTCCACAGGAAGGAAGCTTCCAAGGAAGGACCCATGGACGGTTCTGCATCTGTTGTCTGTAAAAGTGCAGATGAGGGGTATGAAGTAAAACTACATCATTATATCTAATACTGAAAAATATAAAGGTTGGTTGATGTTAGAGTCTGCAGAGGAGACTTCCCTCTTTTTGTTTGTTTTCAGGACTAGTTTTTGTTCAACTCTGAAGAAAAAAATCTGGTATTGATTAGTGAGGAAGGAGTGTACTGTGGCGTGACTGACGTGTCTTAGTCACGGCCAGGTCTCCTTGGCCAAAACAGGTCCATTCAGTCAGTCAGTGGGGCTTAAGATTTTATTTCACAGCCATAGCACCCCCATGTGGCAGCCTCGTGGCCTGGGCTTCCTCACAACATGGCAGCCAGTGTTCAAGGTGGAGTTGCAATGTGAGCACCAGGTGGAGGTCATTTTGCCTTTCGGGTCCCGGCCTCAGAAGTCATGCTGTGTCTGTTCACTGGGAGTGCAGTGGGCCTTCTAATCAAGGGGTGGAGAGTTGGACTCCCCTGCTAGGTGGGAAGAGTGCTGACTGGTGAGAAGACAATTGGCAGACACACTTTATAACCATCACAGTCACTTTTTTTTTTTTTTTTTTTCTGAGACAAGGTCTTACTCTCGCCCAGGCTGGAGTGCAGTGGCGTGATCTTGGCTCACTGCAACCTCCGCCTCCGGGGTTCAAGCATCACAGTCACCTTTAACCCAATCACTTGTCAAAGCAATTTTATAAAAGGTGATTAATTTTGGTCCGGCATGGTGGCTCACACCTGTAATCCCAGCACTTTGTGAGGCCGAGGCGGGCGGATCACCTGAGGTAAGGAGTGTGAAACCAGCCTGACCAATGTGATGAAACCACGTCTCTACTAAAAGTACAAAGATTAGCTGGGCATGGAGGCGTGCTCCTGTAATCCCAGCTCCTTGGGAGGCTGAAACAGGAGAATTGCTTGAAGCTGGGAGGCGGAGGTTGCAGTGAGCTGAGATGGTGCCATTACACTCTAGCCTGGGCACCATTACACTCCAGCCTGGGCAACAAGAGTGAAACTCCGTCTCAAAAAAAAAAAAAAAAAAAAAAAAAAGACGAATTTCTTCCTCTCCCAGCTTCACTCCCAGAGGGGTTATTTGTATTGCAGGCCTGTGTGTACACAGCCATGCCTACTGCAGGCGTGGTTTTAGCCATTTCTGCCTGCTGCTGCACCTCTTGTTTGCTTCTACTTAAAATGAACTCAGAGCTCATTCTGTAGCTCTCCGCCCTACCCTCTCTCTCACTTCTGAGCCCCCCATTTGTCCCGGGCCAGTTAAAACTACACCTTCAGCCTCCCGTAATTCGGGGTGTGACCTGTCTCTGGCCATTGAGAAAAGCCACTGGGTTTGCCCTTTGATCTCTCCTGCTTCCTGCCTGAAGCCCAGCAGCCACGTTGGGGCCATGAGGAAGAGGAGCCAAAGGTCGGGAGGAAGAAGCCCTTACTCTGCATGGCTCCTTGCAGACTGCAGCTACACTTGTCATGTCCCTTCGAACCAGATACTTTCCTGATTCGTGCTGCACAGAGTTGTCCATCTGACAGGTGTCCCATGATTTATGTGACACATCCCCAGCCAAGGGATGCTTGGGTGGTTTCACGTTTCTGGCCTTCACATTTCTAGACACCTTGATACTGGGATGCCGTTTCCTTTGGGTGGATTCCTGGAGCGGGATCGTGAGGCCAGAGAGTGTGCCTGGTGGTTTCCTGTCAAGTGCTGGAGCGTCTCAGGGCCTCTGTGGGCACAAAGGGACACTGAGGCAGGAAAGCACGGATCCAGCCCTCGCCAGCCCAGTGCAGCTTTCCTCTGCTGGGGCTCCTGACAGGCTCAGGAGAGCTGTCCTTGACTTTTTTGTTTGTTTTTTGTGTTTTGTTTGTTTGTTTGTTTTGAGACGGAGTCTCGCTCTGTCGCCCAGGCTGGAGTGCAGTGGCCCGATCTCAGCTCACTACAAGCTCCGCCTCCCGGGTTGATGCCATTCTCCTGCCTCAGCCTCCCGAGTAGCTGGGACTACAGGCGCCCGCCACCACGCCTGGCTGATTTTTTTTGTATTTTTAGTAGAGACGGGGTTTCACCATGTTAGCCAGAATAGTCTCGATCTCCTGACCTTGTGATCCGCCGGCCTGGGCCTCCCAAAGTGCTGGGATTACAGGCGTGAGCCACCGCGCCCAGCCTCTGCTTGGCTTTTATGGGAGTGGGAAGTGGTGCCTCCTGACTGCAGGCCTCTGGGGACCGGTAGGCTAAGCAGCAGGTCAGGGTCAGGGTTGGTGGTGGCGGTGGCCCACAGGCCCAGGCTGCCACCGCTGATCTGGATACGGTCAGGGTCAGGGCTGGCGGTGGCCCACAGACCCAGGCTGCCACCGCTGATCTGGATACGGTCAGGGTCAGGGCTGACGGTGGCCCATAGGCCCAGGCTGCCACCACTGATCTGGATACCAGGGATATTGAATCACTTCTAGCTCCTTAAAGGACTTAAGCAGCACCAAGGTTTGGCGCTGTTGACAAAAGGCTCCAGGCTCTCCTGTTCTAAGTTCTAGTCCCCATTCAGCCCTTTCTACCACTAACCCCCGTTGTGAGGTGGGACCAGGTAGGTGGAGGCTGTAGATCACCACCATGCAGGACAAGACAGGCCAGGTGGCTGGAGCTAAGGGGAGCCCAGAGGCCTCCCTTGAAATTTGAGGGGCCTGCAAAGGGAGATGGGTGTTTTGCGCCCAGGTGGCTGACCCTGGGCTATTGGAGCAGAGAACAGGAGAACTGGGGTGAAGGGCTCCAACTCCCAGTAGCTGACAGTTACAGAAATGGGTGTCCAGATGGCCATGGAGGGGCTGCACTGGGCAGGGGGGCCAGAGGGGAGGAAATGACATGGGGCGTGGCAGCACAGAGCCATTGCCCAGGGGAGCTGTGGGGCATGAGCCCCTCACAGTGCAGCATGCTGGATCCCCCCACGTCTGCGCCATGGCCCAGGGGTCTCAGCTGGACCGAGAGATGGTACAGCCGGGGAGCAGAGAGCCGAGTACTCTTGCACGCATGGTCTGACAATGCATGTAAGAGGATTTGGCTCTCTGGGCCTCTAGGATTTTTCTGGGGAGATTTGGGGCCAGCTCTCCCTTTACCTTGCTCCCAAGGCAAGGAGCTGGCCCCAAATCTCCCCAAAAAACCCTAGAGGTCCAATTCCCACTAGTACTGGGAACAAAGAAAAGGGACCACCAACTGCTCTGATTTTTCTGGACACACCCCGCTCACTCCCACTGAAGGCCTTAGCACACGCTGTTCCCACTGCCTGGAATGCTTGGCCCTTGCTGGCCACATGGCACATTCCCACACTCACCTCAGCTCAAAAACCAGTAACTTTTGATATTATTGTGTTCATCAGGACTAGTGAGGTTATGCGACTGAAACGAACAGTCCCCTGAATCTCAGGGGTCAGACAACCAAGTTTATTTCCCACTTGCGCTCTGTGTCTCGGCTGGATTGGCGGGGGTGGGCTCCACTCCGTACAGTCACCAGGGACCCCGGCTGGTGGAGGAGCCCCCATTCCAGTGTGGGAGTCCACAGTCTCGTGGCAGGGGAAGAGGATACAATCCACAGACTCACGGCTTCTGTGCTAGGCCTAGGACGGAAGAGGATACAAGGGTAGGCGGTACTTGCACCAGCAATTAAATGCTCTGGCCTGGAGGGAGCACACATCGCTTCTGTTCATAATGTGTGGATCAGACTAAGCCACACCACAAAGTCACCGGGGGTGCCTCTCCAGGGGTGGTAAAGGAGTGGGGAAACAGCAGCGAGCAACCTCCAGGCTACGATGGCATCCTTCTTGTCGTCTCCAGACCACTGAGGTCTCAGCTGCCTTTCAAATTCGGTGTTGGCGAGACCCATGTTTTTCAGTCGGGATGAAAGCTAAGTTATCAAAGAAACGTGACTCAGCCTTAAATATAGGAATGGTGCCATTCTGATAACCGGAAGGGGCTGAAAAGTTAGAGAATTAGCTTAAGGTGTCAAAAGGAGACATCTTTACTCAGTAGAACGTAAGTGACTGGGGAAAAAAATCACGTCTCCTGGCCGGGCGCGGTGGCTCAAGCCTGTAATCCCAGCACTTTGGGAGGCCGAGGTGGGTGGATCACGAGGTCAGGAGATCGAGACTATCCTGGCTAACATGGTGAAACCCCGTCTCTACTAAAAATACAAAAAACTAGCCGGGCGTGGTGGCGGGCGCCTGTAGTCTCAGCTACTTGGGAGGCTGAGGCGGGAGAATGGCGTGAACCCGGGAGGCGGAGCTTGCAGTGAGCCGAGATCACACCACTGCACTCCAGCCTGGGAGCACAGCGAGACTCCGTCTCAAAAAAAAAAAAAAAAAAAAAAAAATCATGTCTCCTGAACCAATCCTCAACAACTTGGTTACCTATGTGTTTCATTTTTCTATTGCTATACAGTGGATCACTCCAAAACTCAGTGGCTTAAAGCAGCAGCCGCTGCCGCCATGTTACCCTGCGTGCTCCTGGTTCTGAGGGCTTGCTGGGCGAAGCTAGGTGGTTCTGGCTTGTGCCTCTCACATGTGGCTGCAGTCAGATAGTGGCCAGGGCAGAATCTCCCAGACGCGTGTTCACTCACTGGATTTCAAGAGTGAGCAGCCCAAGAGACAGCAAGTGGGAGCTGCTGGCTCTGTGAGGCCTGAGCCTAGCACGATGTTCTGTTGGTCAGGCAGTCCCAGAGCTCGGATTTGGATGACCCCAGACATCTCAAACGCAGCATGGACAGAGCAGAACTCAGTTTTCCTCCCTCCTTCCCTACCCCTAGGCCAGAGCCCTTTCCTTTCTCTCAGGCCCCACAGCCAATCCTCCGGCAGGTCCTTTGGTGCATCCTCAAACTTCATCCAGAATCCACCCCTCCTCCCCACCTCAGAGCTGTGGGAGGGAGAAGCACCTTTGTCCTGGTTCAGGCC